AGAGTTGTGGGATGACATCAAGAATATCATACATGAAGAGAGCAAAAAGTCATTAAGAAGACAAGAAAGAAGGAAAAGATCAAGATGGATGTCAGTATTATCATTATCCTAACTTAAAGGACTGCTGGTGTGATACTCTTAAGAAAAGCACTGGACTGCAAACCACAAAGTCGGCAGTTCAAACCCTTAAGCTGCTCCTTGGAGGCCCTATACAGGGTCACTGTAAGTCAGAATCAACAGCACTTACAAACAACAACAGCAAAGATGAAAATAAGTAATTTCCCCAGCATCAAAGAGCTGCTAAGTACTGAAGCTAGTATTTAAAACCAGGCGCTGACTCCTCGGCCTATGTCCATTACTAACACTCTATCCAAAGCAAAGCAGATTTTACTTTTCAAACTCAACTGACCCCACATACGGCAGGGCTGTGATAAAAGCCACTGAATCCACTTATTCTAATCGTTCACTGTGAAGTCTGACTCTCATCCCTCATGTCAAGTCACTTCCGACTCATAGCTGACGGGTATAGAGTTTCTGAGGATTGGCTAGGAGGTTTGTACTGCCAACCACGTGGTTAGTACTCTTGTGTTTATTGTACAAGTACCACATCATCCCTCATCAAAAGGAGCAATTCAATAAGATGCAAGAGAATGGTGGCTGAGATGTTCCTGTCCAATAAAGAGAAACAAAAGAGAGCCTACCCAGTCCTCTGAACTTTTGGATATTATCATTTATGAAAGTGATACTTAACCAAAGGTACTGGACAACCTGTGGAAATTGCTGAATGGTAACCTAAACATCTACGTAGCCACTTGGTAAGTACCATGGAGTTGGTTCCAACTCTTAGTGACCCTGCACAGGGTTTCGAAGGCTATACATCTTTACGGGAGCAGAAAGCCTCATCTTTCTCCTGCAGAACAGCTGGTAGTTTTGAAGTGTGGACCTTGAGGTTAGCAGTCTGATTTGTAACCACTATATACCAGAGCACTTACAACACAACAAAAACTTTTTTTTTTTAAAGTTGATGGTTGAAGAATCTCTTGGCATCTGTGACCTCTGACACATTCAAGTATATGAAGGCTACATTCTAGATGACCTTCACGGAGCCACTGACGAACCCTATAGTCACTTAACGTTAGAATGCTGGAATGAGATGATTGATAATAAACTCCATTTGTGTAAAATGACTTCTGCAGACAAAATCGTTCTAATTGATATGGGTGCAAATAAGTTCTTATTCAGGGTAATGAAAAAGAAAACATTTTCTTTTCAGGTAAAAGAAAATTCATGATACACCAAGATGAGAAAATCACTCACCCTGTTTATTCAATTTTGTTCCAACTTCAGGAAGACTGCAGTAAACAACATCTCCCAAAGCTTCCTAAAAAAAGAAAGAAAAATCACTGAGAAATCAAAGTTGATCCTCAGTAAGTAGCCTCAGTAGGTATACTGAAAATACTTAATCCAGGAGTCAGCAAACTTTTTCTGTAAAGGGCCACATGTTATTGTTGTTAAGTGTTGCTGAGTCAGTTCTGACTCAAAGCAACATTGTAGATGATTTTTGAGGAGCGACTGATGAACCTAAACTGCCGACCTTGCAGTTCAAAGCAATCTCGTGGTCCAGTGCTTATCCTACAGTAAAGCACTACACCAGGACTCCAGAGTATACAATTTATCCTTGAGGGGCACATTATCTGTGTTTTCTTACAATCCATTAAAGATGGAAACACTATTCGTAACTTGGGAGTTGTAAGAAACAGACCACCAGCTGGATTTGGTCCATGGGCTATAGTGACCCCTGTGATTAACCACAGATCCCAACAAAGCTTGCTAGCTCCTCTCAAAACATACTTTGTGCTTTTATACTTCTGCAGGCCATTTCCCCAACTGAATCTACTGAAATCCTATTGATTGATTTTTTACAAAGTCCTCATGCCTCATACTTGCTATAAACCTCTTGACTCGAACAAGAATTGCTCTCTCCACTGGATGAATGAATCACAACCCTTTGAAACATGCAAGTGATAGCTATCATATAATGTTTTGTATGTTGTTTTTCATCTAGGTGATTGTCCTCTTCCTCATATATACACTTAGAAGGGCAAGGACCACATCTTACAGAGTGTTTCACAGAACTCCTTCTACTAGGAGGCCTCATTGTTGTTATGTGCTGTGGAGTTGGTTCCGCCTCAGCGACCCTGTATGGGGTTTCTGAGGCTGTAAATCTTTACGGGAGCAGAAAGCCTCATCTTTCTCCCACAGAACAGCTGGTCGTTTCAAACTGCTGACCATGAGGTTAGCAGCCCAATTCATAACCACTACACTACGAGAGCTCCTTCATAGGAGGTACATAAATGCCAATGAAGAGATCAATGTCTCAAGCCTTCAGAACCTAAAATATCTCAGAATCTAACATACCTGCAGGATAAGCACCAGACCACAAGGTCAGTGGTTCAAACCCACCAGCTGCTCCTCAGAAACCCTATACAGGGTTGCTATGAGTCAGAACCAACTGGACGGCACTCAACACCACCACCAGTAGTAGCATCTCTCTTGCCCTTTGCTGCCCACCAAACATACATCCAGTGGAAAACTACTGACATTTGCTATTTGCTTCTCATTTCCTTTTAAGCATCTCAATATAGGATCAGTGGGGGATAGGGGAGTTAATAAAGAAAAGATAGGCTAAATAATTTCCTTTGTATATTCTATGCATGTCTAGGTATTTCCTTTTCTTCATGTCTGTGCATATAACCACTCAAAAGAAAGACGGACAGCTCCAATTTTTGTTCTTCCATTTTCCCCTTACGAAACATTTGTTTATTGAATAACTTATGTTCCCTTTTAAGTGTCAAACTGTCAACATTTTTTAAAACACCACATGTGAGCAGGTTTCAAAAAGTTAATGAAAAATAGAATACAAACATCACGGAAGTTTTCCATGAACTTTCTGAAGCCCCCTGTTAACCCTAACTAATTGTATTTTACTTGTTCCACCTGTGATGGGAGTCCTGGCGTGGCACTGCAGGATAATGTACTGGATGGTAAGGTTGGTTTGAGCCACATGGTCAGCAATTCAGACCTACCAGGTGCTCTTTGGAAACCCTATATAGGGTCGCTATGAGTCAGAACCAACTCGACTGCACTTTAACAATAACACCTGTATTTGCTATTCATTTGAAAAGGGCCCACAGTACTAAACGCAGAACGCACAAAAAGTTGGGAAGTTAAATACAATCTAGTTTAGCAAGAGAAGACCGTCACAAGTAATTCAAGACAATTCAGTACCTGTGCAAAATTGCTGATTCCCACTGTTCCAATACCATCGTCGGCTGTTATCCACTCATGTTTGTCTGTGAATTTACGCACTGAAAGAGAAGGTAAATAGTTCAGAAAGCAGTGGAATAACTTGTTTAAAAAACTGTCCATATGAATTATGTCAAAAGGCAAGACTTTGCCAGTTTATGTGTCTGACTCATTGATGTTGGCTTTCAGGAGCACACTGCCCAGGAAAAGAGCACATCCCAACAGTGGTATGAATCCGGCAAACACAGTGTGATTTGCACACCATCTGGAGATTATTTGCTCTAACATTTCATAATCACACACACAAAATGGAGCACATTTCAGATATATACTTATCTATTATTGTCTGAGCCCAGGTGGTACAGTGGTTAAAGCACACAGCTGCTAACCAAAGGATCAGCGGTTTGAACCCATTGTTGCTCTGAGGAGTCTGCTGTAGAGATTTACAGCCTTGAAAACCGACCCTATGAGGCAGTTCTAGTCTGTCCTACTGGGTCACTATGAGTTGGAGTTGACTTGAAAACAGTGGATCTATTTCTGTCTTTAGAGAAAGGAGCCCTGGTGGTACAAAGGGCATTGGGCAGTTAACTGCAAAGTCAGTTGTTCAAACCCACCAGCTGCTTCATAGGCAAAAGCCTGGCTACTCTTAAAAAGATAAGTCTTGGAAACCGTAAGGCGCCGTTCTCCTCCATCCTAGAAGGTGAGTTGGAATTGGTTTGTCTTAGAAAACCATGGTTTAACCAAACAACTCTTCCCTCTCAACACAGACTTAGAGTGATGGGGTTTTGTGCCTTTCTAGGTACAGCTGACCTGAGATGACTTCACTGGAGCTCAAATATAAAAGTGAAATTTCACAGGGATGAAACCGACCATTTGGAACAATTATGTTGTTGGTGCTAAGTATGTTCTGACTCACAGTGACCTTGTCTAAGGTTTCCAGGGTTATAAATCTGTACAGGATCAGAAAGCTGCAACTTTCTCCCATGGAGCAGATGCTGGAACTGAACCACTGACCTTTGATTAGCAGTCCAATGCTTATCCTACAGAGCCACTGTGCTCTCCATAACTTCACTGGTAGTGGTGGTGGTTGTGTGCCACTGAGTCAGGTCTGACTCATAGAGACCCTGTATACGGTTTCCACGGCTAAAGATCTTTACAGGAGCAGAAAGTCACATCTTTCTCCCACAGAGCAGCTGGAAGATTCAAACTACTGACCTTACAGTTAGCAGCTCAGCTCAAAATCCACTACACTACCAAGGCTCCTTTATAACTTCACTAAATTCTTAAAATCTTATTTTAATCTAATCCAAAGCTGCCCTTGAAGAGTGGCTAGCATCATTTAAAGAAACAAAGTGTGAAAATCAGAACAGCTACCTCCCCTCTATACTAACAGTATAGCTCACTACATTGAAATAACCCGTTTGTCAACTTTCTTCAGGAAACAGACTGGAAGGACAGTAAGAGCAAGAACAAATCGTAACTCATTTCCATTTGTATTCCCAGTTCTAAACACAGTGCTTGGCACAGGGTACCCCAGCCCATGGCCACTAAGTCAAATCCAAGTCACAGCAACTCTGTATAGATTTTCTGAGACGACGAATCTTTACAGGAGTATAAGACCTCATCTTTCTCCCTCAGAACAGCTGGTGGATTTGGACTGCCGAGTTTAAGAATTAGCAGCCCGATGCCTAATCCAGAGTGCTAGCATGTTGTTGTTAAGTGTCAGTTCTGACTCATAATGACCCTGTATAGGGTTTCAGAGGAGCAGCTGGTGAATTTGAACTGCCAATCTTGTGTTCAAACCAACATTGTAGTCCAATGCATTATCACACAGTGCCACGGTAGTCACTCAAATATTGAAGGAGTTAGCGATTATTCTTTAAAGTTTGTTAGGTAGAGGAGATTCGGAGCAAAACATCTAGTAGTTCAGCTATATCACTCAGCTCTCTCTGACACTGTTACAAATGTCAGCAATTGCAACCAAGTTACGCTAACTCATGGTGACCCACTGTGTGCCAGAGAACTGTGCTCTATAATGTTTACAGTGACTGTCTCCCATGGCACATCTGGGTGGATTTGAACTTCCAACCTTTCCATTAGACACCTAATGCATTAGCCATTTGCACCATACCCAGGGACGCCCCAAGGAGCTCTGATAGTGTAGTCTTTATGAGTTGGGCTGTTAACCTCAAGGTCAGCAGTTCGAAACTACCAGCTGTTCCATGGGAGAAAGATGGGGCTTTCTGCTCCCATAAAGATTTACAGCCTCGGAAACCCTATACAGGGTCGCGATGAGTCAGAACTGACTCCATGACACCTAACCACCACCATCACCACCAGGGACACCCCTACAACTCAGTAACAGCCTATATGCATTACCAACTGGTAAGCAATTGAAAACTAATCATCGTAAATTAAGAGCTAAGATCTCAGTAACTGTATATGTGACCCATCTAAGTCTGCAATCTCGATTTTGACATCTTGTCTTCTTACAAAGATCACAACAAGGAGCAAGGTTGCTGACACTGAATGACCACAAGGTCGGAAGAAAAGGCAGCAATATTACTAGGGCAAAAACTGCACCTTCGGCCACTGGCCTTCAAAGTCCAGAGTCTTCTTACTAATGCAACTGAGGCTAAGAAAGTGGAAGAGGGTTAGTTCCATTGTCCTTTAACTCTTGGTCAGTAGAGGGGTGGGGACATGGACAGGAGATTAGGTTAAATAGTTACTTTTTACCACCTTTTGAAAAGACATGGTTCTTAGCTGTCAGAGAATTAGGATTTTGTAAGAACCAACTAGACAACACTTAACAACAACAATTTATACAAATTTTACTTTTTTTTTTAGCTTTCAAAGTCACTGATCCAATATGTTTTACATTGTTGTTGTTGTTGTTAAGTATCATCGAGTCGGGTCCGACCCATAGCGACCCTGTACAGGGTTTCCGAGGGTGTAAATCTTTACGGGAGTAGAAAGCCTCATCTTTCTCCTGCGGAGCGGCTGGTAGTTTCGAACCGCTGACCTTAAGGTTCGCAGCCCGATTCGTAACCACTACGCTACCAGAGCTCCTTATGATTTACATTAATATTGGTAAATATATTTTGACTATTTCTTTTTCATGCCATATGTGATTGGTGTGGCACTGTGGGTTAATGCACTGGACTGCAAGGTTGGTTTGAACCGCAAGGTCAGCGGTTCAAACTCACCAGCCACTCTTCAGAAATCCTATACAGAGATCCTATAAGGAACAAACTCCATGGCAATTAACGACTGTTTAATAACAGTATTAAGTCCTTATGTGTCAAAATATATGCGTAGCAAGATCCACGATTTCTTTGTCCCACCAACTCTGTGAGGTAGGGATTTTCTGGTGAGAAAAACAGGCTCCTGAAATTAAGCGATCTGCTCAAGATCTCAGGGCTCCTCAAAGGCGCCAGAATCGGAACATGAGAAACCTAAGTGCTTGGGTCTTTTTAAAGGAATGGAGAACCCTGGGTTTCACATGAATGAACATCAATGGAGTCATCAGGCAAGACTGAGTACACCAGCTATGCTGGGTTAGAAAGCAAAGGCTACATACATTTTCAGTCTTGATAATAGAACTGTGGTGTTACATTAAGACAATATCCTCATTCTTAGGATTCACTGAATTCAGTGATCAGCGATTCACTGAAACACTGAATCTTAATGGGTAAAAAGGTCAAGATGTTTTGCAATTAACTCAAATTAATCAGGACAAGAAATATGCAGATGTGTATTCATTGATAAGTATGTACAGAGATGGGGGAGGGAAAGAAAAGCAAAAGTGGCAAACTGTTAATGATTGAGGAGTTAATTTGTGATTATATGAGTTCTTTGCATTCTTGTAATTTTGTACATTTGAAATTTAAAACAGAGCAAAACAACCTAGGTTCTTAACCAGATCAGGAATATTGATGTTTTGGGCAATATTTAACTAGATAAGCAGAGAATGCAAGCTTAACAGTAAATACAAAAGCAGAATTGAAATTCAGTTTTTATCTTAGAAATGCTTTACCCCTGTATTCAAATTGGTAATGCATTTATATGGGACCCTGTAGGTGAAACACGACTGCTAACCTCGAAGTCGGTGGTTCAAACCCACCAGCGGCTTCTCAGAAAACCTATACAGGGTGGCTATGAGTCGGAACTGACTCATAACACTTAACAATAACAATGCACTGAAAATGTCACAAACAGAGCTGAGGGAATATAAACCAATCTTTATGCTTCAGAGTTGGGAATAAATGATTTCTAAAACAACTCCCATCACAGGTCTCTACGTCCTAGGTAGCAGCTAATGTTCCAAGTATTTGCGACGAGAACTCTTTTTCCCTATAATGATTGTGCACAAGTAGCACAGGTGGGGAAACATTACCGGGCAGGTCTCCCAGCTATTCCCTTTAAGCTAGGCCTCATTTCAGCCCCAACACACTTCAACGACTCAGACACGGGCTCCAGCTTAACGTCTCCAGTCGAGTCCAGGCATTTTATGTTGCTACTTTTTATTAACAGTTGCATGTTCAACGTCATGCTTGTTTTACTAGTAAAACTCTACGTCCGGTTTTGATTTTAGTGCTTTAGCTGGAACTTTACTCCATAGTTCTCAATACTGGTCCACTCAAAAAACTAGTCTATTGCCTTCTCCACCTCCAGGGTCTTAGGAAGCGCTCCACTGCCAATGAATCAGCGATGGTGCCTCCCTGCCGGATCCCCTGCCCAGGCCGCCTGCACCTAATTACCAGGACAAAGATTGTGGTTTTCGAAACCACGCGGACCTGAATAGAGACGACCGAGGCTACCTGCGTTGGGACCCCGCGCGAACCAAGTAGCAGGTACAGACGGTCACCCTAGTTGTGGGTTCCCACAGGAGCAGCGACGCGAGCAATACGCACTATGCTCCCGGCCCTCCACCGTCCACCAGCCAGCCCACGTGCGGCCCCAGCTGCGGTGCTCGCCCCGCTTACCCGAGAACTGAGCGTTGCCGGTGCGCAGCATCCGCACGGTACCCGGTCCCGGCCCCCAGCGTCGCGTTGAGCAGGGCGCTCGGGGCGCCGAGAGCGCGCGCAAGCTACAGGCCGCTACCCGCACGCTCCGCACCGCTTGCATCGCCATGTTCACAGGGTGCGGGGGTCGCGGCGCAGGACTTAGGCTCCCGGCGGCGCGGGGTGGGGCGGGGCGGGGCGGACAGGTCCGAGAAAGCCGGCTGGGCCGCGGTGAGGGGCGGGGCCGGGTGGCCCGGGACGATAGGGCCGCGCACAGGGGGCGGGAACGCCTGGGCCAGGCGCGGCCCCCGATAGGACGATTGCAGGGGGCGTGCATATGAGGAGGGGCCTGAAGCCCGGAAGGGACTATGAACAAGAGGCCGCCCAGAGAGAGGTGGGGCCAACGGGGGTTAGGCGTGTCCCCGCGGTCACCCTGAGGCAAGTGGAAGTGCTTACTAAACAGCTCAGGGCTCCGCGACTTTAAGCTCTACACTCCGCGAGACGGCCTCTGGGCCAAGGTAACTGGGCGGGAGCTGCGCCATCCCGAACCATTGAGCGTGGGTCCTTGGGGAAAGGAAGATATCACAGAAACCAAACCCACTGCCCTCCAACTCATAGGGACTCTATAGAACTGAGTAGAAATGCGCCATAGGGTTTCCGAGACTTAACCCGTCCCTATGCTGACAGCTTCATCTTTCTCCCGTGGAGCAGCTGGTCGGTTTCATGGTACTGACCTTTAGGTTAGCTGAGTATCAAGGTCACCAGATCTAACCAGAATCATTGAAGCTCAAATGTGTGCAATGGTTGTTAACCAAAATCACATTGACATTTGCTTTTTTTTTTTTTTTTTTTGGTCTTTTTTAAATACTGAACACAGTTCAGGAACCCTCATTACTACACTGTGTCCAGACACCCAGGGGCATAGTGTGGGTAAAGAGCCCCCAGGGCAATCTCTCAATTGCACCATACACAGGGTTGCTGGGAGTTGGAACAACTTTCCCACTTTCCCCTCTAACCCCCTTGTTGTTATGTGCCATGGAGTCAGTTACAACTCATAGCGACCCTGTACAGGGTTTCCGAGGCTGCAAATCTTTACGAGAGCAGAAAGCCTCATCTTTCTCCCGCGGAACAACTGGTAGTTTCGAACTGCTGACCTTGTGGTTCGCTGCCCGATTTGTAACCACTACGCTACCAGAGCTCCTTACTCTACCCCTAATTTACTCTACCCCTAATTTCAAGAGGAGTACACTTAGATAGCATCAAAGTGTCATCAGAAATGCCTTAGCACTTTTGGCTAGCTGCCTCAATCAGACACTTTTCATGTTTGTGGTGGCTCGGAATGCCATTCCATGGTACATCTGGCATCTCTTTGGACTTGAGGGGGCACTGTTCCCCTTTGCACTGTCAATCTTCCACACACACACACACATCTCTGTGTCTAACATCAGTATAGCAGGTTAATAGACACTCTTCCTCAGTAGTCCCCCTTCAAGTGTCACCCAAGGCAAGTGCCATACCTGCCATACATTAGATAGGTCTCTGAAGCCTCCGGAAACAGGAAGCTCACAGGGTGAAAGGACTTGTCTAATGGTTGGGTAACTTCTTGGGGGAGACTAGATCACAACCAGCATGCTACTGCAGGAGCATCCATGGGCAGAGGGTTGAGACTCAGCCTTGACATTGCCTTGCTTAGGTGGCTAGCCGAGTGACCAAGGTCTTCCAAGTAAACAGAAGTCATTGTTCCTATCCAAGGAGACAGAAGGTGTCAGCACAGATTTTAGGGACTGAGAATGAGTCAGCAAAGAAACACCCCGTGAAAAACTACCTCAAGCACTGCACCCTCAGCATCAAGTAGGCACCTTGAAGCGTGTGTGTGTGTATGTGTGTGTGTGTTTTCCAGAAGGCCATACACTCTTGCACTGAGCTTCTACCTCACTTATAAACCAGGATAGTCATCACATCAGTGGAGTGGCTTCCAAGAACTCTCATCTGCATTTCATCTGAGCAAACAACAGCCACATATTAAGTCCTTACTGGGTGACACAGTTATATGTTTAACTGCTAGTAGAGAAATTGGTTGGAAGGCACCCAGAGGTACCTGAAAAGATAGCTCTGGCAATTGGCTTCCTGTAGGAGAGCTTAAAATTAGAGGCAGTTGTTGTTGTTGTTGTTGTTGTTGTTAGGTGCCATGGAGTCGGTACCGACTCACAGCAGAACGAAACACTGCCTGGTCCTGGGCCAATCTCACAATTGTTACTATGCTTGAGTCCATTGCTGCTGCCCCTGTGCCAATCCATCTTGCTGGGGGTCTCCCTCTTTTTCTCCAATCCTCCACTTTACTAAATATGATAACCTTCTCCAGGGACTGGTCCCTTCTGACAGTATGTCCGAAGTATGAGAGATGAAGTGTGGCCGTCCTGACTTCCAAGGAACATTCTGGCTGTACTTCTTCCAACACAGATTGCTTGTTCTTTTGGCAGTCCATGTACTTTCAGTATTCTCCAACACCATAACTCATATGCACCAATTCTTCTACGGTCTTCCATACTCACTGTCCAGCTTTCACATGCATATGAGGATACTGAAAATACCATGGCTTGACTCAGGCGCACCTTAGTCCTCAAGCTGACATCTTTGCTCTTCAGTACTTTAAAGAGGTCTTGTGCAGCAGATTTGCCCTTGCACTTGGTGTGTGTCAATAGAGGAGTCTGCAACTACAGCCGTAACTCCATTTAAAGTCTTGACATGAGTCTAGAGCCCATATTGAAATCGGAAAGCTGCCTTTCTAACAGCAATTGCTCTAACCTTGAGGACCTTCCTCCCTGAGGTTGGCCAGGAGCAGGTATCACAGTCTACTCCCAGAGGAAACTTACATCTGGTCACAGATACGAGATGTGATCACTTGTGGCCAAAGGGTCTCGATGCACAGCACTAATGGTACATCTTTACAGTGAATGCCCAGAAACAGGTAAGATTGAGAAAGCAAATTTTATAGCAGGTTCCTAAAAAAACTTGGCATGCTGTTGTCCTGTGGCCGTCTTGTCATAAACCAAAGAACATGTACACCTGTGATTATATACTCTTGACTAATCATGTTAACCCACTTAAGTTTTACCCACCTACCCCTGCTAAGGAGCTCTGGTAGCGTAGTGGTTACGAATTGGGCTGCAAACCTTCAGGTCAGCGGTTCGAAACTACCAGCCGCTCCGCGGGAGAAAAATGAGGCTTTCTACTCCCGTAAAGATTTACACCCTCGGAAACTCTGTACAGGGTCGCTATGGGTCGGAACCGACTAGACAGCACTTAACAATAACAACAATGACCCCTGCTAAGGCCCCTCTTGTAGAGGACCTGCCTTTGACTCCTCTAATTGTCTTTTGGGCAATTATAATTTTATAAGTTGTAGTTTCTCAATGTAAAGAAAACAAAAATCCTCACCATGATCATGATAAATGGAGAAAAGATTGAAGTTGTTAAAGACTTCATTTTGCTTGGATCCGCACTCAACGCTCATGGAATCAGCAGTCAAGGAATCAAACAATGTATACTTTAAGCAACTCTGCTGCACAAGACCTCTTTAAAGTGTTAAAGAGCAAAGGCGTCAGTTTGACCACTAAGTTGCACCTGACCCCAGCCAGGGTATTTTGAATAGCCTCATGTACATGTGGAAGTTGTACAGTGAACAAGGAAGACGGTAGAAGAATTGATGTTTTGTTTTGCCAAGCTACAGTTCTTTATTAAATAAAACCATCACATTTTGAAAACTTAATTTCATAAAAGTTTCCATGATATCTCACCAATAATTTCCGACCTCCCCTTGTACAGTAATATTATTCGTTTTGTAACTGCCTTCATTTCATTTAGCATGTCTTCAAGGTTCATGAACATTGTAGCATTGATCAGGAATTCATTTCCCTTTAAAGCTGAGGACTAGTTAATTGTATACATAACTACCATATATTCTTTATGCATTTATCTGGTGATGAGCACTTGGTTTTCCCCACCTTTCAGCATTGTGAGGACTGCTGCACAGGTGTGTGGCACTTCTAGTAGACTTCTAAGGAATGTGCCTAGGAGGGGAATCGCTGGGTCATATGGCAGCCCCAGCCTGAGTTTTGTGAGGTACAGCAGACTGTTTACAACAACATTCTATAGCATTCTCACCAGCAATGGATGCAGATTCCAATTTCTCTGCACCTCCTCCAATTCTTATTTCCCTTTTTTGATTGTTTATCTTAGCTATCCCTTGTGGTGGGGTTACATTCCATCAAGTTGGCTCTGACTCATAGCGATCTTATATATATAGTTGCCGAGGAGTGACTGGTGGATCTGAACTGCTGACCTTGCAGTTAGCAGTCAAGCACTGAGCCTGCAGTGCCACACCAGGGCTCAAACGATTAGAATTCTGTTCCTAAGACTATTATGAAACTCGAGCACAATGCCTTGTTGTTTAATAAATTATCATCAAAGAAAATTAGGCCCTATAGCTTTGTTCTTAGGGTTTCTTCCAAGAACTTTATGATTTAAGGTTTAATATTTAGGTACTTGATCCATTTTGAATTAGCTTTTGTATAAGGTGAGAAGTATGAATCTTAAAGTTTTCTGCATGTGGAAATCCCATTCTGCCAGTACCATTTGTTGAAGACACCATTCCCTCATTCCTCTTTGAATGGTTTTGAAGTTTAGCAGGTGTTTTGAATTTTCTATTAAGAGGATCATCTCACCTGTGAATAGATAGTTTTACATCTTCCTTTCTAATTTGGAAATCTTTATTTTCCTTGCTGTATTGTCTGGCTCGGCCTTCCAGTATATACTAAATAGGAGTGCTGAGAGCGGGCATCCTTGTCTTCTCATTTTCAAGAAGAACGTTCTTTATCTTTCTCTACAGAGTGTGATGTTGGCTATTGGTTTTTCATAAATACACTTAATCATGTTGAGGAAATGATTATATCTTTTATGAGCACAATTTAACTTTTATCAGGTCCCAGTTGTCTCCTTTGTCTTCTGCTGCTCGTGCATTTTTTGTTGCATTTTATATTTTATCATTAAAAATCATCAGGTCCTTGTTTTAGATTGAACATTTAGCTTCTTGATTTACTGTCAGTTAGTTTTTGTGTATGGTGTAAGGCA